TGTTGTGCTGTCAGGTTCATTCCAATGGATTTCGAAGGAATTCAAACCCTGTTTTCATACTACGATAATCAATGGCGAGGCCGTTTAATATACGTAACAACAATGTGCTTGAGAGCCTTAATACTAGGACCATGACGATGCCTATGAAGGTTTTCTCCTCCTTTTCTTTCGTACTGGGAGGAATAACCAGGTGTCTAGCGCACGTTGGGTTTTTGGAGAATCTAAAGGCGCTGCAAGCACAGCAAATTCATTGCTTTAAGAGGTGCGCTCAAACACAATATTGTATATTAATATTGTATATTCAAACCCTTAATACATTCATTCAGGTATTTGCAATGCATTATAATCATTTGCAGCTGCCTTTAAGTTGAGCTAAATCAAATCGTGATGCACCACTCTACTTGGTGTAATGTGAGTGAAAATCAGTGATGACGGTACCCTACAATGCCTGTATGCATGTGAGTATGTTGTTGATTTATGCATGCATGCATATGCGCAATAATTGGCCCTTTGGTGCACACGCCTGCAACTTGTATGCACTCCGTATTGGCCCACTAACTAAGGCATTTTCATTCCTGGTTTTTTCGTGTTTATCCTTTTACCGTCGTTGTGCATTTATTCGGGTTTTACCACTCCCGTATGAGGGTTTATTTATGCTTGGGATCCCTAGACCCTAAAACTTATATAACAAAAAGAGACAGGATACAGACTGCTGCCCGTTAGCAGCACAGGTAAAAATATATTCTTGTAATAAGAGGCAGACAAGTTGGTGTGCTGCAGCGGGTATTGCAGCAGCAACAGCAGCAAGTGCAACAAATGCTGGTGAAAGGTTGGTGCAGCGGCAGCAGCAGCTGCTGCTGCTGCACCTGCTGCTGCAACCGCTCTACGTTTTCGCTTTTAATGCAAGAGTACGTGCCCTTAAGATAGCCTCTGCTCTCTTAGAAGGAGAAGAAATCTCCCATAGATTAAAAGGCAGCAGCAGCAGCAGCAATCCTTGCACGCGTAATGCAGCAAATAGGCCGTAGATGTCGCCTTGCAGCAGATGCTGCTGCTGCCCTCCTATCCAATAGAGGCCAAGGGAATCTTTCTCTACTGGCAGTTTGTCTGCTTCTGCAGCTGTCTCTTTATCCGCTGCTGCCAGCAGCAAGTGCAACAAATGCTGGTGAAAGGTTGGTGCAGCGGCAGCAGCAGCTGCTGCTGCTGCACCTGCTGCTGCAACCGCTCTACGTTTTCGCTTTTAATGCAAGAGTACGTGCCCTTAAGATAGCCTCTGCTCTCTTAGAAGGAGAAGAAATCTCCCATAGATTAAAAGGCAGCAGCAGCAGCAGCAATCCTTGCACGCGTAATGCAGCAAATAGGCCGTAGATGTCGCCTTGCAGCAGATGCTGCTGCTGCCCTCCTATCCAATAGAGGCCAAGGGAATCTTTCTCTACTGGCAGTTTGTCTGCTTCTGCAGCTGTCTCTTTATCCGCTGCTGCTGATGCTTCTGCTAAACGGAGACAGGAGGGAGGAATGTAACAATACGCTACTTTGCATGCAACCTCTGCAGCAGCTGCCACCACAAAGGGACAAATGTGCGCCCCCACCTGCAGCAACACCAATGGCAAACCCTAAACCTGAAACCCTAGTAATTCGTCCTCCTTTTGTGGTCTCCCCGCCTCCGCAGGAGCCGTAGCTGCTGGCCCCCACGAACCCTAAACCCTTTACACTGCCCAAAGCCCTGAACACGAACCCCCCCGCGCTCTCAGACCCTAAACCCTAAGCCCCAAACCCTCAAGACTAACGGTTACACATGCGCCAGCGCTTTCCAACACAGCCGACAGCTCTCGCTCTACCCTGGGGCTCCTTAGCTGCAAGGCACCAGGGCCCCCACCATGCAAAGGGCTCCCCGGTACCCTTTCCGCAATTGGTACAGTAAGGGAAAGCTCCCGCATGCAGTAGCTGCTGACCACCTGAATGATACACATGGGGAGCGGCATGCTGCAGCAGCTAAGCAACAGACATGAACTGCAGCAGCAACAGCACCAACAGCAGCAACAGTAGTAGTAGGAGCACTAGAGGCCTTACATATTGCTGCAGAGCTTCGGAAGTAGTCTTCGGAGACGGCAGCATCTGCTGCTGCTGCTGCTGCAGCTTCTGCTGTAATGCCACAGCGATGGCTTTAAGAGCATCGCTCTGAAGTTTCGCTGCAGCTGCATTTGCTGCTGATGCTGGAGATGCTATTGCTGCTGCACCAGGAACCTCGCCACCATCAAGGCAGCAAAAGAAGGGAGGAACATGTAGACCGCTGTCAGGAGAAGCGAGCAGAGAGGTACACCCCTGAATACCCCACAGAAACGAGGGTGTATGGATTAGCAAGCCAAAGTTTGGTTTAACCAAGGGTTTAAGGTTTAGGGTTCAGAAATAGCAGCCAACTGTCACTCACCACGGAGTAGGCAAGCGACATAAGCTGCCGCAAAGAGAAGCCCGGCTGTTGCTGCTGCTGCGTTTGCTGCAGTTGCTGTTGCTTCTGCTGCTGTTGTGTTGCAAGGCCCTCAATGACTCGGCGCAGGGTCTCCGCATTAGCGGCGCGACGCCACATGTCTCCACTTGCCTCCAAGACAGCGTCCACAGCAGCAAATGCTGCAGTTGCTGTTGCTGCTGCTCGATCTGTCTTTGCTGCAGCTAAAGTCGCTGGGACAGCAGCAGCAGCACGAACCAAACTGTCTCGCAGCAGCAGGAGTCCGTTGCTTAAATCTTCTATGCTCGTCCCCTTATCCACAGATGCCCTAAAGGGAATATCTAGCCTAGCTTCAGCAAGAGGGGATGCTGCTGCTGCTGCTGCTGAAGCAGCAACAGAGGCTGCTGATGCTGAGGAAGCAACAGCCGCTGCTGCGGCTGCTGGTGTTGCAGATGCAGAGTCTGTACCAGCATATGTTGCTGCTGCTGCGTTCCCCCGAAGACCAAGAAATGCTGCTGCTAGCTCCTGGGACTTGAGGTATTCCACCAGCGACTGGCGATACACCTGCTGCTGCTGCTGTTGCTGCTGCTGTTGCTGCAGCACATATAATGCTAGCAGCAGCCGCTGAACAGAGATCAGCGGAGACAACAATTCTTCTCCTGCAGATTTTGCTACTGTTGCTGCTGATGCGAATGCATGCAGGAGAGTGCAACAGCTCGTTGGCTCCAGTCTTGCTGCCTCTAATGCGGGGTCGATGAGTGGAATCTTCTGGTGCTGGTGCTGCTGCTGTTGCTGTTGCTGTTGTTGCTGTTGTTGCTGCTGTTTCGGCTGCTGCTGCATCAGGTGCAGCACGACAGGAGCAATTCTTGAGGATGTAACATTTGCACACTGTAGCAGAAAACTTATTGGCAGTAAATCTTCTTTCCACGGCTGCTGCATGATTGCCCCCAACAGCAGCGGCAGCTTCTTCATCTCGAGCTGCTGTGGGGAGGCCCGCAGCAGCAGCAAATGCTGCAGCAGCAGCAGCAGCACAAAAAACCGACAACAACAAATACAACACTGCAGCAAGCCCTGAGCGAGGGCGAAACCAGCTTGATCAACAGCAGCAACTGCAGCGGCCGCAGCAACCGCAGCAACATACAACTGCTTACCATAGTCCCCTTGGGTAGCGAAAGCTTAAGGAGTGCTGCTGCTGTAATGAGGTCAGCAGCAACAGCAGGCAAAACGTCTCCAATCTCTTTATGCAGCCGCTGCTGCTGTTGCTGCTGGAATTCGTGCTGCTGCGCCAGCTGCTGCTCTTGTTGCTGCTCCTGCTGCGCTGTGTGGGCAAGCGCATTCAGCCTCACAGCTGCAGCAGAGCGCAGTGACTGCGGGACTCGTTGCAGACGGAGACAGCCGAGCAACAGCTTGGCGAGGTCCTCAAGAGTTGCTCCTGCAGCAGCAAAAACAGAGGCAGCAGCAGCAACAACAACATCAAGACGCCGACAGCAGCAGCTGTAAGTGCAGCAGTAGCAGCAGCAACCTCACTAGTAGGGGGCACCTGCAGCAGCAAAAAATAGAGCTGCCAGCAACCAATGCAACAGCAACAGCAACAGCAGTAACAGTAACAACAGCAGGAGCACTAGCCGCAGCAGCAGTGCAGCCTCACTAGCAGCAAGTGTATGTGCATGCACGGCAAGCTGCTGCAGTGTTGCTGGAAGCGGAAACAGGAATTCTGCAGCAGCGGCAACAAACTGCGCGAGATGTGTGGGGCTCCAAAGCCCAAAACATTCGCTGCAACTCTTGTCGAGGGCTTCTGCAGCAGCAACAACAGCAGCAACAACAACAGCTGCAGAAACAGCTGAAGCAACAGCTGCAGCAACACCTCTGCAGTGAGTAGCAGCAACAACAAGCAACTCATCCATTGTGAAGAAACGGAATGCACCGGGGTTTAGGGCTGGGTTTAGGGCTGAACTAGGGTTTAGTTTAAGATCTAGGGTTGGGGAGTTAGCATGCACCGAAGGCTTTTGTATCGTCCACTCCTGCTGCAGCCAGCTCCTTTGCTGCAGTAACAAGATCAGCAGGTGGAGCAGCAGCAGCAGCAGAGCCCCGCAGCATCAGCACAACAGCAGCAACAACTCGCATGTGCCGTCTTGTTGCCTTTAACACCTCCAACGCTGACCTAAGTGGCATGGTTGCTATCTGCGGCAGGAGAAGCAGCAGCAGCAGCAGCAGCAGCACGCAGGGCACACATTCAGCTCAAATATCATGGCGAAGCCGCATGCATCTTCGGACAGGAAAGCAAGCTTCGGTAGGGTCTAGAGGTTTAGGGTTTAGGGTTCGCTACCCACCTGGCACTCCACATGAGGCAGCAGGTGCTGCAGCGCCTCCATCTCCGTCTCCTCTTCTTTCGTGCTGCTGCTGGTGCTGGCGCGGCCGGTGTTGCTGCTGCTGATTTGCTGCTTCGCTTGCTGCCCAAGGCCCACAGGTTCTTGACGAGCTGAGGCTTCTTCTCCTGTTACTGTTGCTGTTGCTGTTGCATCATCGGCAGCGACTTTTGCTGCTTCGTCACCAGCACGATTACAACGACGAGTCTCAATGACACGACAGAGGCGCAGCAGGTCCCTTTTGTCCATATCAGGGCCCTCTGCAGCAGCACCACCAACAGCAGCGGCACCAGATAACAACAGCGACAGCAAAAATAGCAGCAACAGAAATAGCAGCAACAGTAGTGGACAGCTGCAGTGCTTGAACTAGTCCAGACAGCAGCAACAGTACCTGCAACAGCAGCAACGGCATCAACAACAGCAGCATCAACAACAGCAGCGGCTACAGACGCAGCACCTCACGCTTTGCGACTGCAACCAAAGCCCTGCAGTAGGCAGTAGACGGCCACTCCCTCGACAGGAGCAGAAACACTGCAGCAGCACAGGGCAAGAGACACAACAAGAATCCTAGTCTGCTGCTGTTGCAGCACCTGCCGTTGCTACTGCAGCAGCACTAGGTGATGCTTCTGTGTCTTCCTTTGCTGCTACACTTTGCGTTGCTTTTGCGGCAGGAACAATGGCCATTCTGCTGCTGTTGCTGCTGCTGCTGAGGCTGTTTCGGCGGTTGCACTTGCCCTGTTGCTTAACAGGAAGGTCCTTAGGGAAGACATAATCAGGCGGAACAGCAAGAAGAGAAGGCAGCACGTCCTCCCCTCCCTCCTTGTGGTGTACGTACACATCACACCCCACATTAGTAAAACTACGCCTGAATACTAGACCTTTACCTAGGGGGCCCCCAATTGGTGGGGCCCCAACTGGGTATCCCCATTTTGTGGGGGCCCCAACATAAAAGGAACTCGATATACTCCATAAGGGAGGCAACGATAGAGGAAGCCAACCCGCTGCTGCTGCCGTTGCTGCTGGTGCTGCTGACCTTGCTGGTGCTGCTGATCTTTTTGGTGCTGCTGCTGGTCCTGCCGCTGTTCTTGATTCTGTATGAGGACCCCAAACAACGGCTCCGCAACGTCTACAGCGCGCGAAGGAACATGCTGCTGCAGTTGCTGCTGTTGCTGCTATGGTTCGCCTTGCAGAAGCAGATGAAAGGTTTCGAAGGCGCATCAGCAGCTCGATGCTGCAAACTGACACAGGAGCAACAGAACCAGTAGCAGCAGCAGGACATCTCCTCTGGGCAGCCATGGAGAATACGAGTCTTCTATGTAGCAGCAACAACAGAAGACCAGGGACCCTCCCTACCTTCTTTCGGGGGGGCCCCCAATCTTGCTTCCACTTGGGCTCCCCAACTGGTTCTTACTCCCCTTTTACCCAGCCTCATTAACTATCTTTCATATTGAAAATAATACTATTTCAGGTATAATAAATTACTCTTGTTTAACACAAGGCCAATACATTACAACAACACCGGGGGGGCCCACCGAGGCGGCGGGTGGCCCTGCGGGTAACAAAAAAGGGTACAAATATGTAAGGGAACAATACCCCATATCCACGTAATTCCCTTTTGATTTCAGCAACCACAAAATAATTCTAACACAAGACAGGATGAAACTATTGTGGCCCATCAGGGGGCCCCTGGGGGGCCCCAGGGGCTCTCAAAATGAGGCGTCAATCTAGTCTATGGAAATTAACTCGGTTGGTTTTCTAAGTACTGTTATCTTTCAAGATTTGTTTATACGCGTTCAATGTTTGTTTGGGCGCCCTGCACGCACTAACTTTCAATAGGACCCCTTTAGTTATTATTAGGAGGGGGGCCACCAAATGGCCATGAGAGCGTGTGCGTCTCTAGTCTCTATCTGCAAACTGTTTGATTAAACAACGAAGGGCGATAGGGAGAAGAGGGGGGGAAAGAGACTCTAAATAACCCCAGAGACAGTCCTGTATTTGTTTCAGTCTCCTGTTTCTCTGTCTCCTTTTTCTGTCTGAGACAGAGACAACACAGGCAAGTAGACATGCCCATGAGTCAGCACACAAAAGAGAGACATAGGAAGGAAACGATACAAGTAATTACTAGAAAAGAAGGGAGGATACGAGGAAAAGGGTCACCTAAAAAGGAAAAACGGGACAAACCACGGTGTTTGAGACAACTTGGTTGAAAGTCCTGTCAAACAAACTCAAAGGCTGCCCTACGTCAGCCGATTTAAACCAAACACAGCAGTTAGTTACCTGGCAAGCTAGCTAGCTAGCTAGCTAGCTAGTTGGCCTTAGTGCAACTTGCCACCTGGCTAGCTCGCTAGCAAGCCAAGGGCAGATTAACCCCGATTTTGTTAAAAAAAGGCACAAGGCACAAACAAAGAGGCAACTCCATTGAATATACTCGAGCCTACACGGGCAGCTACGCAACTACCCAGCTAACTAGCTAGCTACCCAGCTAACTAACTAGCTACCCAGATAGCGAGCTATCTGGGTACCCCCAAAAAAGGCAGCTCGCTCCCTCGCTATATGGGGAGGCAGGTGAGCATTCGAGCGGGGATGTGGCAAGCAGCAAACGGCTAGCTAGCTAGTAGCTAGCTGGTCCAGACGTGTGTATGTATGTATGAATGTGTGTGTGCTCGTGTGTGTGGGAATGTGGGGGTTTGTGTGTATGAGCAAGCTAGCTAGCTAGCTGTATATATATATACATATATATATATATATATATATATA